CTTCTTCCTGCCCACCCAGGTAGTTATTTCAAATATTAAAAGCCTTAGTATTTGGATGCATTGGTCTTGGAGAAGGGGAAAATGCAGTATTAAAAGACCTTTGAGCCAGGCGCTGGTGGCTCACACCTATAATCCTAGCCACTCAGGAGACTGATATCTGAGGATCGAGGTTCAAAGTCAGCAGGGGCAGGAAAGTCCCCGAGAGACTCTTAGCTCCAATTAACCAGCAGGAAACCGGAAGTGGAGCTGTGGCTCAGGTGGTAGAGCGCTAACTTTGAGCAAAAGAAGTCATGGACAAAAAAAACATAATTTTTTTTTTAAAAAAAGAATGATCTGATTGCAAGTCCCAAATGAAATTCAGGGACAGCGACCAGCTCTGAGTTCAAGCACCACAACATTCAAGATGGATTCCCTCCCTCCCCCAAAAGAAAAGAACTTTGAATTCCATCTGACAAGTTTTAGACATTCTCCTCAGTTTTCAACCCTGTCTATTTTTCCCTGTGCTGTGGAATTACTGAACTCTGAACTTTGAGAATTACTGATCTTTAAACTTTGAGAAATGCTACATGTTAACTTTGTTTCAAACCCTGTATTACTTCACTCTCTTTCAATAGCTAACTTGAAAAAAAAATCACGATACTGCTGGATGCGGGTACTCACACCTATAATCCTAACTACTCAGGAGGCTGAGATCTGAGGATCTCAATCCAAAGCCAGCCCAGGCAGACAAATCCAAGAGACTCTTATGTCCAGTTCATCAATAAAGTGCCAGTAGTGGAAGTGTGGCTGAAATGGAGGTGGGCTCAAGTGGTAGAGCTTCAGCAGCGGGGGGCGGGGAGGGGGAGAGAAGCGGGGAAGGTGGCAGGGTGGATCATGATACTAATTGGGAAAGTAAATTTTAAAGTAAAATTGACAGACTACAATGAGACTAATATGTATATATACTTATGTATTTTATAATTGTAGTTATGTTTTAGGCTGTGTGTATTATTTAATCAAATATTATGCAATTATAATTGCATATTGTATATAATACATAAATATTTTGTAATATATTTCTTTACAACAGTGATAAAAGATACATAGAATAGTATATATTATATATGTATTGTATATTATTTGAAGTCTATTTTATCTGATATTAGGATTGCAACTCCAGCCTGTTTATGGGGGCCGTTTGCTTGGTAGATTTTGTTCCAGCCTTTAACATTGAAAATGTGTTTGTTTTTACGGGCAAGATGTGACTCCTGCAGGCAGCAGATAGAAGGGTCTTGTTTTTTAATCCAACTAGACAGTCTATGTCGCTTAATTGGAGAGTTCAGTCTGTTAACGTTAAGAGATAAGACTGAGAGGTATTTGGGAGTTCCTGCCATGTTATCCACCTTCTTGGGGGCTGCAAAAACTGAGTTCTTCCTATGGTTCTTGGATTCTCAATTTGGGTGCAGTTTCTTGGCCTTTATTGCGGTCTTGGTGGTTTTCTATGTGTAGGACATCTTTAAGAATCTTTTGTAGGGCTGGTTTGGTGGAACGTATTGTATATTATATATGTAAGGTCTGCCCTGGCCTCCCCATCTCCTGTATAAGTCTCCTCCCAGAACCTGTTACCTAGGTAACTGGCACAACCTGGAAGCTGTCACCTCCCTCTCCTCATCCTGGGCCATCTTCATTCATGCTTCCCATTGGACTTGGGAGGGTCTCAGGCCCTGAGGTCATATCTGGATCCATGAAATCTATCTACCTATTTAGTTTACCTTACAGTATATTACACATACTTTTTATATCTATGTATACCCTTAACTGTAAGTAAGTAAACTAAAGGCCACTAATTTTGTAATAAGAGTTTTGGGGGGGTGGGAAAAGAAGACACCTTTTGAGAGAATGAAGGTGGTTATATGGACTGCCATTGTGAATCCAGGCACGGACTCCCCTTTGGGAAGACAGAGATGAAAATGGAGAGATTGGCTGATGGCCTCACTCAGGAGCATTTCGGAATACAGGAAACAGTAGGAGGTCAACCCATAACCCAGACTTTCTCCTTAATGTTTATAAAGGGGCCAGTCCTTCAGCTCAGTGCTAAATTGTGAGTCTTTATTGGAGAGCCAGAGGAGTGCTGGTAGACTCCCATCTCAAAGACCTGCAGCCCGAAATGCAGCTGGCACAAATCTTATATAGGCCAAAACCCCATGAGTGTGAGGAATTAAACCTAACAAAAGTGTTAAATAAAGGCAAACCATCTAGGGAAACAATCAGGGGAAATCAAGGGCCAGTTATCAAGGGGAAATAGACATGGTCTCCTTCAGCCTTTGGGGGAATATTTAATATCCGAACCATAATAGTACCCAAAGGATTTGAATTTATTCTAAAGTATTTGATTTAGAAGTGTTCGACTTAGAAGTTCCTGCTCTGTCACAGTATGCAAACTTGAAACAAGCACAGTGAATCATCATTTTTATTGCTTCGGTTGATTGAACTAATATTTGCTAAGGTAAAAACATTGTCCCAAGCCAGGTACCAGTGGCCCACGCCTGTGATCCTAGCTACTCAGGACATTGGGATCTGAGGATCGTGGTTCAAAGCCAGCCTACTCAGAAACTAGAAATAGAGCTGTGGCTCAAAATGGTAGAGCTGAAGAGCTCAGGGACAGCGCCAAACCCAGTCCTTGAGTTCAAGCCACACAACCAACAACAACAACAAAACTGTAGTCCCTAAGTAAATAAGTTACTGTAGGTGAGATACACTGTCACAGGTTAGCTACATGAAGGCATACAAGACAGTCTGTTCCAGTGGGGAGGTTAGGAAGTCTTATTTTATTGTTAAGAGGGGTTACAGTTACATGAGTAAGGCAATGAGTATATTACTTGTCCATCATCGTTACCCCTTCTCTTGTTGTTGTTGTTCTACTATCCCTTCCCTCCCCCACCTCCCACATTCCTACCCCCTTTCCTGCCCTCACCACCGGAAGTTGTAAAGTTTGTTTCCAATATGGTGTCCTGTGGGTATCCTTGTTGCAATGGGTCATTCTGTGTCCTTGTTTCAGTATTTTGTTATTCCCCTTCCCCTTCCCAGATTAGACATACATATATACAAGATGCATGGTATCAAAATCGAGTATAGTGACAATAGGAGATATACCATAGGGGAAAGAACATACAAAGGAAACAACAACAACAAAAAATAAAATAAAATCACATGGTACATTTAAAGCAATAACAATAAAGATAGACCTCTTATGTCCATATCTTGGGGTTCATTTCACTTAACATCATCTTATATGGTCATTTGTACATGGTTTTTGAGCTTTTCAGCTCAAAGAGTATCCTATGTGTATACTAATTATTGCAAATAAGGGAAACCATGGGACCTAAATTTTTTCGGACTGGGTAACTTAATATAATTTTTTCTAAGTCTTTCCATTTCTTAACAAATGGGACAGTGGCATTCTTCCTGATCGAGGCATAGAATTCCTGTGTGTGTGTGTGTGTGTGTGTGTGTGTGTGTGTGTGTGTGTATCACATTTTCTTGATCCATTCATCTACTGAGGGGTATCTGGGTTGGTTTCGTATCTTAGCTAGGTGAATAGTGCTATAATAAACATAGTTGTGCTGGTAGCTTTAGTATGGCCTTGTTTGTGATCATTTGGGTCAATGCCCAGAAGTGGGATTGCTAGGTCATAGGGGAGCTCTATGTGGAGTCTTTTGAGGAACCTGCATACTGCTTTCCAAAGTGGTTGAACAAGTTTACACTCCCAACAACAATGCAGTAGGTTTCCCATTTGGCCACATCCCCTCCTGCATCTGTTATTATTAGATTGCATGAAACTGCAGAGCTCCTGCATGGCAAAGGACCTAGCTAGCAAGATCAATAGAAAGACCACAGACGGAGAAGATCTTCACTAGCTATACAACAGACAAGGGCCTCATATCTAAAATATACTGAGAACTCAAAACATTGAGTCACCAAAAACAAATCCTCAAGGAAACAACTGCCCTATTAATAAGTGGGCTAAAGACTTAAAGAGAAACTTCTCTGAAGAGGAAATAAGAATGGCCAATAGACACATGAAGAAATGCTTAATTCCTTTAACTGTAAAAGAAATGCAGGGGCTGGGAAGGTGGCTCAGTGGTAGAATGCTTGCCTTGCATGCATGAGGCCCTGGGTTCAATTCCTCAGCACCACATAAGCAGAAAAAGCTGGAAGTGGCCCTTTGGCTCAAGTAGTGGGGCACTAGCCTTGAGCTGAAGAGCTGAGGGACAGCGCCCAAGCCCCCAGGCCCCACGACCAGACCCCCCCCCCCAGAAAAAGAAGAAGCTGATGCCTAAGTTAAATCTGGAACAATCTTTTCAGCTAAAGAACCATCCTATTTTTTTTAAGGGATATTATTCCTAAGTGTTATATCTTAGCCCTCTGGAATCACATGGGAAAGAGAGAACTGACATTTGACTTTGTGTATGTGTGTGTGTGTGTGTGCGCGCGCGCGCACACACACACGCGAGCACATGCACACGTGCATGTATCTGTGCCCTGAGGCTTGAACTCAGAGCCTAGGCACTATCCCTGAACTGTTTTGCTCAAGACTAGTGCTCTAACACTTGAGCCAGCAGCTCCACTTCCAGCTTTTTGTGGTTACTTGGAGATAAGAGGCTCACAGACTTTTCTACCCAGGGCAGCTTCAAATCATGACTCTCAGATCTCAGCCAGCTGAGCAGCTAAGATTACAGTCCCTGATTCCCAGCTGTTGATGGTGATTTTAATTAAGAGTTTAGATATTCACTTAAGCCATACAAAACTTTAGATTTAGGTTTTTTTTATTTGTAAAGTATGTCTCACATGAAATGTACTTAAATTGTCTTCTGTAAATCTTTATTACATTTCTGTAAAAGCCGAAAAGCCTCAAATATGTGACTTCTCCCTCTCCAAATTTTCTTATAATTTACTAATAAGATTAAGGTAACTGCTTTTGGAAGAATTGTGAAGACTAATATACTATGTTACTCTTATAGAATCATGAAATTTCATGTGGCAAAACGGAAGTTTAAGGAGACATTACGCCCATATGATGTAAAAGATGTCATTGAACAGTATTCTGCAGGTCATCTGGACATGCTCTGTAGAATTAAAAGTCTTCAAACACGGTAAGCAATAAAAGTGTTATTGACTATCGAACAATGTGCATATGGGAACTCTGTAGGAATAGCTTCTCTTTAGTGTACAAAACCACTGAGTCCAGTGGCTGGTGGATCATTCCTATAATCCTCACTATTCAGAAGTTGAGATCTGAGATTCCCAGTTCTAAGCCAGCCTGGGCAAAAAAAAAAAAAAAAAAAATCCATCAGATTTATCTCAAGTAACTAACAATAAGATGGAAGTGGTACCAAGGCTCAAGTGGTAGAGTGCTGACCATGACCAAAAACAGCTAAGGAGAGTGCATGATACCCTGTGTTCACACACACACACATACACCTGAATTCCATATTTCACATTCATTGCTATTGGGCAAGGGCACACTTTTGCTTTTTGTGTAGATATCATACCAGTGGCTCACACCTGTCATCTTAGCTATTCACAACACTGAGATCTGAGGATCCAGGCTCATAGTTAGCTAAGAAAAGAAAATGGAGCTGTAGTTTAAGTGATAGTGCACTAACCTTGTACACAAAAGCTCAAGAACAGTGCTCGAGATCTGAGTTCAAACCCCAGGACAGGCACAAAAAGGAAAAAATAAAATCAAAGATTGAATATTCAATAGTTTTTGTATCCCCACAGTACATTTAACTCTATGTGAGGCCCTAAAACTAGGTCTTCAGTAAAACAGTCCATGTATGCCAGGGAGGGCAGACATCTACTGACTCATAAAACCATGACCCAGGCACTTTGGTACTTCCAGTTTAATAGACTAGGTATCATGACAGAAAGAGGACACTGCCTATGTCTATACAGATAAAGAAAACTGGAATATTGAGTCAATACCCCTCATAATTCAAATCTAACACACACACACACACACACACACACACACACACACACCACCACCACCACCACCACCACCATTTGGGCTGATCAGGTTTCCATGGGAATTGCTTTCACTTGTGCTGTGTTCATGTCACAGGTCTTTACTTAGGTGGCCATCATATTCTAAGTCCTTTAGTACAGCTCTTTGTGCTCCAAGGCTTATCACTCATCTATATTATCCCAAATAAAGGTGCAAAAGAAAGAGACCATACTTTCTCATCTGCTGATCCTCTATAGATGTATAGCAAATTCTCATGAATAATCTTTTCTATTCAGAAGGGATGAATTTGATGTAGGGGCATGGTATGTATAAATGGACATGTCAAAATTAAATCCCCTTATACGGCAAATTGATGCTAATAAAATGTCACAAATAAAATAATAACTAGGGGGGAGGGAGAGTGGGAGAAAAATGATGAAGGAGGTAACAAGTTGGACAAGAAATGTACTCACTGCCAGGCACCAGTGGCTCATGCCTGTAATCCTAGCTAATCAGGAGGCTGAGATCTGAGTATCATGGTTCAAAGCCAGCTTGGGCAGGAAAGTCCATGAGACTCTTATCTCCAATTAACCACCAGAAAACCGGAAGAGGTGTTGTGGCTAAAGTGTTAGAGCACTAGACTTGAGCTGAAGAGCTGAGGGACAGCTCCCAGGCCCAGAGTTCAAGCCCCATGACTCACAAAAAGAAAAAGAAAGAAATGTACTCATTATCTTACTTATGTAACTGTAACTCCTCTTTAACTCACTGTAACTGTAACTCACCTTCACAATAAAATTAAAATAATTAAAAAATAATAACTAATGCAAGACAATCACAATTATTTTTCAATGGTTGGATTCAGAAATGTCTGCTCCAAGGTAGAGTCAATTACTTTGTTTAGGACAATTTTTCCTTCAGAAAGTCTTCCATAAGTGATTTCCTAAGGGAACAGAGTGATAAGAAAATAATCACATTTGTTCATGTCAGGAAAACAGATAACACCAAGTAGAACACATGCTGTATTTAATGTTTTTGGTATAATGGGGTATATTAACTTAAAGCATGATGCTTGTGAGAAAAGCATGCTACTGTTTGAGCCACACTCCTAGCTTTTTAGCTTTCTATTTCATGTAGGGACTTGTGCTTTTGTCCAGACCAGCATAGACTGTGATTCTCTTATTTCTGCTACTAGAACAGCTCATAATATGTGCATGCACAACTACACCTGGCCTCATACTTTTGTTTTCCAAACACCTCAGTGTGACCTAGGGCAATATCCACTTTCAGCACTAATAACTGAATCTCCTTTCTCTCTCTCTCTCTCTGATAGTGTTGATCAAATTCTTGGAAAAGGTCAAATCACATCGGATAAGAAGAGTCGAGAGAAAATAACAGCAGAACACGAGACCACAGATGATGTCAGCATGCTCGGCCGGGTAGTCAAGGTTGAAAAACAGGTACAACTGGACTACACTGATTATAGTGTACTTCACTGTAATTGTTCATCAAAATCAATGGGAAGGCCACCACTGGTGGCTCACTCCTATAATCCTCTGGAGGCTGAGATCTGAGTATTGGGGTTGAAAGTCAGCCCAAGCAGGAAAGTTCATGAGACTCTTATCTCCATTTGAACACCAAAAAAAATCTCAAAGTGGAGCTGTGGCTCAAGTGGTAGAGCACTAGCCTTGAGCAAAAAAGCTCAGGGACAGTGCCTAGACCCTGAGTTCAAGCTCCAGGACCAGCATAGACATATATATATAGACATATATGTGTATATACTTATATACATATGTATATACATATATATATATATACACACACACACAAAATCAATAAATGATAAGAAAGTTAAACATTAAAGTTAAGGTTGATCTTAATGTTAATGATTACTAAAATTTTAAAGGACACTAAAAGTGAAGAAAGAGTGAATGAAAATTAATTTTCATAGTGTCTTGGCACTATTCTATACTTCTTTGGACTTCCATTTAAGCAATAGAAAATTTTACCTTGTTAATTAATATGTAACTGGAAGTAACTATAGTTTTTCAATAATAAAGTAGCAAAGATCTACTTTTCATTTGCATTTTAGTGATTTTCACTGTCTCTCTTTAAGGTCACCCTCTAATTTTTTTTAAACTCACCATAATTACAACACTGAATATTTTTTTAAACCTTGAAGTTCCATCTTCTCATACAACGTTCCAGAAATCAAATTGTTATCCCAAAGAATGGAATCATGAATGTCCCAAGTCCAGCACTCTGGACTTTTATTTTAAAATCCAGACTCACCTGGCTTGCTGCTTAAGGTCTTAATTGCAGTATAGAGTAAGTTCCTTAGCAAAATTCAGTAGAGTTCCAGAATGATTATCAGGAGAATGAGGAAAAGTGAGCTGACTGAGATGAGGAGAATGGAAGCTACCCTTTCATAGTGCTTATATTGAGTTTTCGATCTGAAAGACATGAGTGGAGGAAGTTCAAAGCATTCCTCTTCTGCTATAACCTCCACTGGCCCAGGGCGGCCAAATACTCCATTACTACAAGTCAAAAGTGTACTGCACACTCTGTAGTTACTGTATGGACAAGAGTCTCATCCTTTCTGATTCCATGAGCAAAGGTAATTCTCCATCAGGCATCTTCATGTGAACTCTCATTTCCTACTTTCAGGTCCAATCCATTGAGTCAAAGCTGGACTGCCTGCTAGACATCTACCAGCAGGTCCTGCGGAAGGGCTCTGCCTCGGCCCTGGCCCTGGCGTCCTTCCAGATCCCGCCTTTCGAATGTGAACAGACATCTGACTATCAGAGCCCTGTGGACAGCAAAGACCTGTCCAGTTCTGCCCAAAACAGCGGCTGTCTAACCAGATCGGCTAGTGCCAACATCTCCCGAGGCCTGCAATTCATTCTGACACCAAATGAGTTCAGCGCTCAGACTTTCTACGCACTTAGCCCTACTATGCACAGTCAAGCGACACAGGTGCCACTGAGCCAAAGCGATGGCTCCACCGTGACAGCCACCAACAACATTGCACACCAAATCAATGCAGCCCCCAAGCCGCAAGCCCCCACAACCTTACAGATCCCACCTCCTCTTCCAGCCACCAAGCACCTGCCCCGGCCAGAGACCCTGCACCCAAACCCCACAGGCCTGCAGGAGAGCTTCTCCGATGTCACCACCTGCCTTGTAGCCTCCACGGAACATGTCCAGGTTGCCCCATCAAAGCTGACGAAGGACCGTGCTCTGAGGAAAAGCTTTGACATGGGTGGGGAAACTCTGTTGTCTGTCCGCCCCATGGTCCCCAAGGACTTGGGCAAGTCTTTGTCCGTCCAAAACCTCATCAGATCAACAGAGGAACTGAGTTTACAGCTTTCAGGGAGTGAGTCAAGTGGCTCCAGAGGCAGCCAAGATTTTTATCCCAAATGGAGAGAATCTAAATTGTTTATAACTGATGAAGAGGTGGGTCCGGAAGAGACAGAGACAGACACTTTTGAGGTGACAGCACAGCCGGCCCAGGAAGCTACTTTTGTGTCAGACTCTCTAAGGACTGGAAGATCGCCATCATCTCAGAGCGTTTGTAAGGCTGGGGAGAGCACAGATGTCCTCAGCTTGCCTCCCGTCAAGCTGAAATAAGATCTTCATTTTCTTTCTAGACATAGCAGTTCCTTTAGCCATACATATCATTGCATGAACTATTTTTGAAAGCCCTTCTTAAAGAAAAAAAAAAAAAAGAAGTTGACATTGCAAGAATCAGGAAGTCCAGGAAAGGCCATTCTGATAAGCCCATTATCTTTTCATTTGCATGCAAATGCATGTCTGGGGATGGCTGAAATTCCAAGGTGCATCAACATAGAACCCGCTCATTTACTCATGTACCTTTGAGTTTACAATCCTGAAAAAACCTAGCATTGCTAAAGCTTACAGGGTGTATGAACTTGCCAAGATTAGATCAAGGACAAGAATTGACGCAATAGTTTTGAAATTGTGGGAGTAAACACCTTCAAATTTCAGGCATTTCTGCTTTGTGATTCAGTACAAAATCATCTTTAAAATTAGGCCATAACGTCTAAACACAATAACTATCAACAGCTGCTCTTAAGGAATCAAGAAAAGCAGAATTTGAGGATAATAGAAATGGCTGTGTCCTTCAAGAAATCTCTGCCAACCTATTTCTACTCAGTCTTTTTCTTATTAATGTATTTTGAATGTCAGTTTGTGTGCTTTTTAACTTTTTTTAATTTATTTTTTTTTTATTTTTTGGTGATTTAACGCTGTGGCAAGCAGTGCTACGCATCCTTTTCATGTTGTCCTTTACAATGAGAATGTTTTTCAATGAGAAACAAACAAAAAAAACGTGTGAATCATGACATTTGAGGCCAGTGGGGTGAATAGACTGGCTTTTTGACATATCTGACATTCCCAGGGGGGCCAAATCCACTCTGTAACTGGTCAAGCTTCTACACATGCATAGGAAGCACTGGTCAGTGTGACAGCCAGCATGACTAGGCTGGTTTCTCTTCAGTGGTAGCAGCTCCCGGCTTGCCGATCCTGTCCACATACAAATGCCAATTTAAAATGGGCACCTGTGGCTCACACCTGTAATCCTACCTACTCAAGAGGTTGAGATCTGAAGATTTAAGTTTGAAGCCAGTTCAGACAAGAAAGTCCATAAGAATCTTATCTCCAGTTAATCACCAAGAAAGCCAGTAGTGGAGCCTTGGCTCAAGTGGTAGAGTGCTAGCCTTGAGCAAAAAAGCTCAGAGATAGCACCCAGGCCCTGAGTTCAAACTCTAGGGCTGGCTTAAAAAAAAAAAAAAGGAAGTGGCACTGTGGCTCAAGTAGTAGAGCGCTAGCCTTGAGCTGAAGAGCTGAAGGACAGCGCCCAGGCCCAGAGGCTAATCTTTTGAGATGCTCATCTCATTTACCTGAGATGTAGGTAGGACCCCAGAGAAGAAGAAATCTGAGTAGGACTGAGAGAAGAAAGGCTTAGGGAAAAAAATCTAGAAACAATACAAGAAAATAGGTAAAGAAATTGGCTCTTCCCCTCAATGGGCAGTGAAAAGGAAAGAAAGAATCCAAAATAAAATACAGTTCTTGTTTTTTTGTTTATTTGGGTTTTTTAAGAAAGCAAGTATTGCTAGAGGAGTCAACTACCTAAACATCCCTTATTCTTATATAACAGAGAATTTTGCAAAGTATTTATTTTTAAATATGCCCAGAACATGTTTTGCTATTATGGAGTACATTTTACATATGAAAGGCTAAGACTACACTTTCTCTACTTTTCTTATACTGTATCGAACATTTTCTAGTTTCCTCGGGAATATTAAACCAAATCTGAAATTATTGGTTCAATTTCCTAGTAGAAATATTTACAATAGAAGCCAGATGCAGGAACTGTAAATCAAATCACTTGCTAGTATATGATGGTAGCAAAAAGACCAGAGAGGGCAGGAATTTTAAAATATATTTATCAGGAAACAAGCAGTGCTGACTTCTTGTTGAAAACTAGCAAGCAACCAGACTGATGATACACAACTTAATCCCAGCACAGGAGAGGTGGAGGCAGGATAATCACAATATTGATGATAATAACAAAAATAAAGGAAAGGAAGAAACTAACATAAATGTCGGACTAGCAGATCTTTGACCAAAGCAATGGTATTTAGAGGCAAAGAAAGGAGAGTCAGCACTTCAGAGTCAGCACTTCAACTCACTTCAACTCTGATCAAGAAAGTTGAAGATTTTCTCCTTGACAAACATTAGAACTGCCACAAATCCCATCTCTAGCAACCCATAAGAATAAGCAAGGACATAAAATGGCCACCCAAAGAAAGGAGATTCCCAAATCCACCAACTCTTCCCAACTATTTTCGTGTATGTGTGTGTGTGTGTGTGTGTGTGTGTGTGTGTGTATGCTCGCATGCACGCATGCGCAAGCTACTATGCTGTTACTGGGGCTTGAACTCAGGGTCTGTGCTCTTGCTTGGATTTTTCACTCAAGGTTGGCACTCCCACTTGAGTGGTTAATTGGAGATAATGTCTGCCCAGGTGAGCTTCAAACTGTGATCCTCAGATCTCAGCCTCCTGAGTAGACAGAATCACAGGCATGAGCCACTGGCAACAAGCCAGACATTTGTAATCATTGGTCCTCCCTTACTTTCCTTCTTTCCTACCACTGTTTTGCTTCAGATTTTCACTAGGCCTTAAGCAGCCTCTGTCCTTCAGTAAACCACTTCTCTCTACCTAAAATGTACCTTTCAACCATTAAAAAAAAATCTTTGGGGGCTGGGAAGGTGGCTCAGTGATAGAGTGCTTGCCTTGCATGTATGAGGCCCTGGATTCAATTCCTTAGCACTACAGAAACAGAAAAGGCCGAAGTGGCGCTGTGGCTCAAGTGGTAGAGTGCTAGCCTTGAGCTGAAGAGCTCAGGGACAGCCTTCAGGCCTAGAGTTCAAGCTCCACAACCAACCAAAAAGCAAAACAAAACAAAACAAAAAACCCTTTGTCTCTAATTCCTTTGTCTCTAATTGATCAACACTGCATTTTTTTTAAGGCTTCCACTTCTTATCCCACTTAGATTCTAAAACGCTCCTGTGGAGTATATTATGTAGAATCTTGGCTGCTGGAGACACACAGAAAATAGAATCTAAATTTTACACTCTAATTAAAAATATTTTTATCAAACTCTTAAGACAATTATTTTCAAACCCAATTAATTTATGAAATTTTCATCGACCCATGTCTGTACTTAACGTGAAGATATACCTTCCCAAAGACACTGCACACACATACACATCCTTCTGCTCACTTAAGCCATACACCTGCCCCACACTAAGCAGGCTGTCTCAAAAGGAAAAGAAGGCGGGAAGGTGGCAACTTTTGGTAGCACTGATTCTTGGACAGACTGTGTCCCAGATGGATACCCACTGGTGGCAGGACTTGGGAAGGGATTCTGAGGCCTTGTCAGCCCAGACAGCATAGTTTATTCAACATTGCTAAGGAAACAAAGTCAAAACACATCACCAAGGTCAGAATCACAGCCAAATGTGATTAATCATATTGTGGAGAACACTCATACCTTAAAACCGTGACCATTTTATGTGTGTCTTGTTCTAGCACAAAAACTCTCGAATGTTGAAAGATAGTTATACGTTATGAAAAGTGCAGGGGTCCACCTGTTATTGTCACCCCGTGGGAATACAAGGGGCCTCCCATGTACCCTTCATACCTGTGGCCAATCCCAAATGGTGTCTGGAAGCACAATTTAGTAGAGCAATGGCTCTCCATACACATTCTCCATTCCGTTGTCTGCCTTCTTCAAGCTGATACTTAATCACAAACATCTCAAGTAAGATGTTAACTAAAAATCCTTAAGGGGTCTGATCTATTAAATGTTCGCATTCTGTTGAATTAAATTTCTATCTGTAGATTGCAGGTTCTGTTTAAAGCAAGCTACTTGGTTGTGTTTTTAAATCCTTACTTCTTGTTCTTACGTGCCTTTCTCACCTCCCATTAACTCAGTGATTCTGAAAGTTCCCAATTTGAAAATCAAATTGGCCCAATAAAGAGAGGAAATGAGGCACCGACGAACTCCATACCCATTTGCAGAGCAAAATCTAAAGAAGAACAACATTGGGGCAACTAAACAAATGGATCATTTCATTCAATCTGATTAAGGAAATACCAGTATCAACTCCCTAGAAGTTGGCTTTTTTTTTTTTACCTTAAATGACATGGTTGTGTTTTTGTAAGAAAAACTTACTTTAATATAATTCTGTGCATTTAAGTGAGCAGCTCTCAAAGTCACATACGACAATGCAATTGTCCATTTCCTGAAAACAATGAAATCAAGAATACCATATCCATTTCAAGCTATCATTAAAATGTAATTTCCTTTACTCTCTTTTACTGGGATTATTTGTTTTAAAGTAAAACATTAAAAAATGTCTTAAACAGCTACTGTGACTGTTTTTATCTAGAACTAACTGGCTGGTTCTGACCTACCTATTCCAGATTAATCAGCTGTACAGTGATTTGGGATTGAAATACAGATGTTTTTTCTTACAATTGTTGCTAAAGAAATCTTAACTTGAGAATAAGGGAGAATTCTCTTGAGGGTATTATAGAAAAAAATTTTGTCCTGAACTACTTATTCAGGTATCAGTGCATGTGTATATTGCATTAGATAGCGTTGAATATCTCTTATTTAAAATTTGTGGGATCTAGAAGTGTCTGGGATTTCAGACTATTCGCAAATATTTAATTATATATCCTGGAGATGAGCTCCTCATCTAAGCATGAAATTCATGTGCTTCATACACAAGTTGTTCATAAAATCTGAAGGTGATTTTTTTATGCAGTACTTTTTGTTAAGGGGATGAGTTGTTGGAGATTGAGCCCAGACTCAGGCAAATGCCAAACAAATGTTAATGCCCAACAAGCTGTTAAAAGAGGATGGGGGGGGGGAGAGGATAGAAGGCTGAGGGGGAGGAGGAGAAGCAGCAGCAGCAGCAGCCCAGCACAAGTGGCTCACACTTGTAATCCTCAAACCTGCTTCTCAGGAGGCTGAGTTCTGAGGATCATGGTTCAAAGCCAGACTGGACAGAAAAGTCCCTGAAAGACTTTTATCTCCAATTAACCACTCAAAAAACCAGAACTTGTGCTTGTGGCTCACAAGAAGAACACTAACCTTGAGCACAAAGAAGCTCAGGACCAGCATCCACATCCTGAATTCAAGCCTCACAACCAACCAAAACCAACAAGAATTAGATACTGTTTTTAATAATCCACACATGAAATAAACTCAAAATGTTAAATTTTGGCCAGGCACTGGTGACTAACACTGGTATTGCTAGTTACTCAGGAGACTGATATCTGAAGACTGGGTTCAAAGCCAGCCTGGGCAGGAAAGTCCATGAGATGCTTATCCCCAATTAACCACCGGAAAGCTGGAAGTGGAGCTATGGCTCAAGTAGAGCTAGCCTTGACCAAAAGAAACTCAGGGACAGTGGCCAGCCCCTGAGTTCAAGCCCCAGGGCCAGCACACACAAAAAGTTAGATATCAGTATATTTCAAATTCAGCTTTTAAGATTAGTCATACTCAGCCAGTCACCAATGGCTATCATCCTAGCTACTCAGGAGGCTGAGATGTGAGGACTAGATTTCTAAGCCAGCCTTGGCAGACAAATCTGAGAGACTCATCTCCAATTAAACAACAGAAAGCAGAAAGTGAAGGTGTGACTCAAGTTGTAGAGCCTTGAACACTTGAACAAAATAGCTAATGGAAAGTGAGAGGCTGAGTTGAAGCCTCAGTACTAGGACAAACAAAAACTAT